TGTTAAGGAATACTGTATCCCCAAATAATGGGAAGTTATTCAAGTAAACATTTTTGGGTGGGGTGACAGCAGGACGTGAAGTTCAGATGGAGAAATCCCTCTGGATACATTGTAGGAGGTGGAGATCAAACTGGCTGCAGATAGGCCAATAAGGAGGTGTTCACAGTAATCCAGATAAGAGACGATGGTAGCTTAGACTTGAATAATGGGAATGGAAGTAGGGAGAAGAGTATGGGTTCAAGAGAGGCTTAGGAGGCAAAGTTAAATGTGAAAGGTAAGGTAGAGGCAAGAGTCATGGTGACTCCAAGTTCTGGCCTGCTTCACCCTTCAGTGAAACAGGAGGTACTGACAGGATTGGAAGGAAAGATCAAGCATTTGGTTTTGGATGAGTTACATTTTGGATGCCTGGGAGATTTCCAAGTAGAGATGTTAAGTAGGAAGTTGGACATGTGAGTACAGAACTCAGAGGAGAGGTCTAGGCTGGGGAAACATTCTGGCATGAATAAAATACAGAATAAGAAAAGAAACATGCCTAGGATTAAATCTTGGGTATTTTAATATTTATTGACCTGGGAAGAATAGATAAGGCTGCAAAAGAGATAGTAAATGAGCTGTCAGAGAAGATAGAGGAAACGAGAAGAATCTTGTGTTAGTGAAGCCAAGAAAAGACTGTTTTAAGGGCAGGGGGTTGGTCAACAGTGTAGACTACTTCTGAGAGGTGAAGGATAATGAATGACCTTAGCACAAGCCAGCACCAACAAGCTGTTTGGTTGGGTTGATGGGGCAAGAGCCAAATAGTTACCCGAGGATTGAATGAGAAGTAAGCAAACAGAGCCAGCAAGTATAGATATTCTTTCTTTAAGTCTCTGGAAAGGGGAAAAGAAAATGTGGTAGTCTGAGGAGAACATAAGGTTGGCATAGGGTTGTCTCCGCTCAACCTACCCTACTCCCAAAGGGAGACTTAAGTACGCTTTCAAGCTGACAAGAAGAATCCAGTTGACAAGAAGAGATTGAAAATGAAAATGTAATGAGAGGGCATGCAGCACAGGAGAGGGATAAGGGATTGAAAAGGATAGATGGCCAAGGGACTTGCCTTTGGGCCAGGGAGATAGGCAGGTACAAATGCCTGGTGGCAAGGTGGTCACAAATGGCAGGAACTCTGTCAGTGGTATGTCCTTGCTAGCAGAGAGTGAAGCCCTTGGCGTCAAAGCCCCATGTTGCTCCCTGGTTTAGGATTCCAATCAAAATATTTATGAGAAGTTGGTGAGAGACTACCGAAGAAACCCTGTCTCCTCTATCTCAGACACTGGGTCCTAGCCCAAAATTGAAATAGTAGCAGCCCCTAGGGGTGAGTGTTCTCAGGAATCTCTTCTGAGTTGAAATCCAGACCAATCATTTTCTGAGGAAATGATACCAGGTATGTGTCCTCACTCAAGTCCCAAAATTATTTCCCAGAACCACAATGTTTTTTTGTTTTTTTTTAAGATTTTATTTAATTGTCAGAGAGAGAGAGAGAGCGAGCGTGCACAAGCAGGGAAAGAGGCAGGCAGAGGGAGAAGCAGTCTCCCCCCTAAGCAAGGAGCCGGATGTGGGACTCGATCCCAGGACCCTGGGATCATGACCTGAGCTGAAGGCAGATGCTTAACCGACTGAGCCACCCAGGTGTCTCCACAATGTTTTACAAATAAGGAAACTGAGCCTCATCCCTAGCTATGGCTCATCTCAACCAGAACAGAAGAAATTGGAGTCTGCCTGGGTTCGACTTTCCAGTGTTTCTAAAGTGCAGAATACCTGCATGGCATGAAACGATCATCTGAGACCGTGTCCCACCCCCAGGTCTCACAAAGTCACAGCAGGGAAGGAAATCCACTTAGTCTTGAGGATTGCTGGGTGCCAGGCCCTGTGTCCTTTGCCTTCGCAGACCACTATATCATTTAATCCCCGTAACGCTCTATGATGTGTGGATCTGAGCTTCTACCTGAGATGAGAGAAATCTGCTTTGCTGCTTTGCTGAGAGCTCCAGGCTGGTTGTCTGACCTCCCTGGTGGCCTTCATGTATGACCCCAGACTAACCGGGCCTGCCAGGCCCTGGATGAGATAGGTGTCTGGGATTATGGCATCGCATTTCCCTGAGCATTTCCATACCTCTCCCAGCCAACCCAACTGCTGGGAAAGGTTTCTATTTTTATCTTCTCAACTATCCTTTTTTCCAAGTTGTGTTCCAGACAAATATCTGTGGTCATCGCCCAATAAAACAGAAGTACACAAATGTCATGCGCTGAGGAAAAAAAAAAAAAGCAGGGAGGATTTTCTGCCTACCTATCGGGGGCCTAATACATTATTCTTTTTTAAGTCAGCAACCTCAACCCCAAACCCCACTGCCAAAACCCTTCTCATCTCTCAGCTGACAGAACCAGAGCAGACCCCTGAGCAGGGCTTCTAGGAGGAGGTGAAGTTTCCAAGAAATAGGAGGTAAATCTCCTCCCCTCTCCATTTCTCAGCTGTATATTCAGTATGTCTTTGCCACTAGGGACCCTTAGGATTAAGTTTCCTTGTCACTTGTCCCCTTACCATAATGCAATACCTCCTATGAGAATATCTCATTATTCAGCTTTGATGTTCTGGCTTTCTGTCAATTTTTCTTGGTTTCTTTTTTTCCCAGCTTCATAATCAGGTGATAGCAAAAACATAAGTAGAGGGCGCCTGGGTGGCTCAGTTGGTTAAGCGACTGCCTTCGGCTCAGGTCATGATCCCAGGGTCCTGGGATCGAGCCCCGCATCGGGCTCCCTGCTCGGCGGGGAGCCTGCTTCTCCCTCTGATCCTCTCCTCTCTCATGCTGTTTCTCTCTCGCTCGCTCTCCAATAAATAAAATCTTTAAAAAAAAAAAAAAAACATAAGTAGAATGCCGAAAATTGATCACCGACTCATAAAAGCAGTCCCTAAACAATTTGCTCCTAAGAGATCAGCAGCTCCAAACCCAAAGGACCTACTCCTTCACAGGGCAAGTAAACACGATGTGTCCATAATCCCCGGGGTGCCCTGAGGATTGCTGAAGTGGGTCAGAGATTCAGAAGGCCTGAGAAGAATTGCTACTCTCTTTCCTCTCCGACCTTTGTGCCCCTGCCCTGCCCTCCTCAGGCTCCTCCACAGAAAGTCAGGGAGGATTTCTTCCCACAAGTTAGCACCGGCTGGTCCCCAGCTGAGTTCAGTGATGAATCAGTCAACAAAAATTTATTGACTATCAGCTCCACGTGAGACTAGATTAAACGTCCTTTCATTACCTATATTCTGTGTCGCTCGTTAAGAATGAGGAACGTAATACTTTGAAAACACATACTGTGGAAATGCTGAATAATAATGGTAACTAATAATAACTCATCAGCCTAGGTGGAAAGCTTTAGATTTCACTAAAGTGGATAAAATCACCTGAGGAGTACAATGCATCCACTGACTAGAGTGAATCAGCACCCACACACTTGTGCTGTTTGTAAAAGTGATAGTCTTTATTCAGCTTTTAAGTCACACCTGGCATTCAATGCCTATCTGTTTCTCAAACACAAGGCCCTTGAAAGCTTTTCCTTTTGAATATACTGCGGCATTGTCTTATTCACTGGAGTGAGTTCAAGTTATGGGCTCTTTTCCCAAACAAGATGAGGTAGGAAGAAAAACGTCGATGTAAATTTATTGTGGGTTCGATTCATTCACTCATTCATTCCTCCGGTGAGCAGGGCTGCATGCCGGCCGGGTTTTGAGACACCAGGGTGAATAAGATACACCCCTGCTCATGAGATGCTCACAGTTCAGCAGGCACCTACACAAATTATAACAATAAAGTGTCACGGGTGCCGTGACAGAAATCTGTGTAGTCATTAGGGTAGGGGCTGCCCAAAGCCATTACAACAGTTCTAACCATGGAAGGTCATAGAAGTCTTCACAGAAGAGATGAAGAGGGATGGCTTGGCCAAAAAATGCATGACATTTCAGATTCTCATCCAAGCTCAATGCATTCTGTCATTACATTCTGTTCTATACATCCTGTCATTAAGTGACTAATCTTTCTAGATACAAAAGAATTTGTTATTTCTGACAGTAATGATAGACACGCTTAGGAGCTGTGGTATTCACTCAGTATGTGCGAGATGTTTTTAATTAAGGTTTGTGGTCTCTATATTCTTCTACAGAACAATCCACAATTACTGTCAGACTTCTAGGCCTCAGCTGGCTCATCTCCAAACATGAGAAAGCAATGATCTCAACCCATTCTGGAAATATTTTCTGGCCCAGTAGCTACTAAAGTCACACATTCTAGAGTTGTGACTTCACCATTTAAAATATACGTGGTGTGGGGAGGGGGGAGGGGGATGGGTTAGCCCGCTGATGGGTATTAAGGAGGGCACGTTCTGCATGGAGCACTGGGTGTTATACGCAAACAATGAATCATGGAACACTACATCAAAAACTAATGATGTGGGGCTCCTGGGTGGCTCAGTCGTTAAGCGTCTGCCTTCGGCTCAGGTCAAGATCCCAGGGTCCTGGGATCGAGCCCCGCATCGGGCTCCCTGCTCCGCGGGAAGCCTGCTTCTCCCTCTCCCACTCCCCCTGCTTGTGTTCCCTCTCTCGCTGTGTCTCTCTCTGTCAAATAAATAAAATCTTTAAAAAAAAAAACAAAAACTAATGATGTATTGTATGATGACTAACATAACATAATAAAATAAAATAAAAATAAGTAGGATACTTCATACACAGTAAAATGCATTATCATTCATATTTAAAAACAAAAAAATAAAATAAAATATATGTGGTGAAATTTCAGTCAGCTCTGTAGTTTAGTTAATAGTTTTGTACCAATGTCAGTATCTTCATTTTGAAGACTGTACTATGTTTATGTAGATGTTAAAATTGGGGAACTTGGGTAAGGGAATATATGGGAAATCTCTGCATTAGTTTTGCAGGTTTCCAACAAATTTAAAATTAGTTCAAAATAAAAAATAAATAAATACATGTGTGTAAGTATGTATGAATGTATGTATATATTTACATTTTTATGATATCAGCTCTACTCTAAGTGTCTTCTACAAACACTTGATTATCAATCAGATAAACTAAATATGGAAACTGAAAGCAGGTATTTAGAAACTTTTATAGCAATTTAACATTTTCACAATATTTAAACATATGATCATTTTCTTAGAAATTTATTTTTATTGCATTTTTAAAGTATCAATCTACATTAGTTAGCATTCTCCAGAGAAATAGAACCAAGAGGGGTATGAGTGCACGTGTGTGCATGTGTGTGTGTATGTCTATATATAAAAAGAGAGATCTATTTCAGGGAAGAATTCTAGTCCAAAGGCAGTCTGCTAGCAAGAATTTCTTCTTGCTCAGGAAGTTTTGTCTTTGTTCTGGTAAGACCTTCAGTTGATTGGCTGAGACCCACCCACGTTATAGAGGTAATCTGCTTTATTCAAAGTCTGCTGATTTTAATGGTAATGTCATCCCAAAAAACACCTTCGGAGCAACATCCAGAATAATGTTTGACCAAATACGTGGGCACCATGGCCCAGCCAAGTTAACACACAAAAAATTAACCATCACATAATCCAATGGAAATTGGAAATTAAAAAAAAAAAAAAAAAAAGCCCTTCACTGACGATAGCTTGAGAAGCATGGTATAAAATAATTTTAGAGACACCTGGGTGGCTCAGTCGGTTAAGCGTCTGCCTTCGGCTCAGGTCATGATCCCAGGGTCCTGGGATCGAGCCCCACATCGGGCTCACTGCTCTGCGGGGAGCCTGCTTCTCCCTCTGCCTCTGCCCCTCCCCTAATGAACCTAAATCATTAAATTGCACCTTGCCCCTGGATACAGTTTGTACTGCTCTCACCAACAGGTTCCCCAGCTTTCTCAATTCATAGCATCTTAGCGGCTCAGGAATTTTTTTACAGAGCTCCTAGCTGAAAAGAAATACAACAGAAACATTACTTACCCAGTGGTTAGGTCCCAACAACTCAGCTGTTTGAATAAGAATAAGACACATAAATTCAAAAATATATATATATATATATATATATTTTTATTCTACTCTCAACCACAGGTACTTACAAAAGGAAGTATATGCCAAGTGGGCCCTGAAAGTCTTGTAAAACCTTGGAAACTAGACAGGCACCACCACCTGCATCCCTTCTTCCACACTGACTTTCACTTGGTAATTGCATTTCATAACAATGGCTGGAAACCCAACTTCTCAGAGACAAGACGTCTTGCAGGGGAAGGGGGCACAGTCTACGGTTGAAACGGTGAGCAACCTTGACCTCGTCATTCCCACGGTGTCCCACAGGGGTCAGCATCACCATGTTTCTCTCCACACTTAATGTCTGCCGCCATGCCCCCTGTGAGTTTGCTGTGGTGTCCCGGGCACCTCCACGTAGTTTGGAACTCATGGTTCTATTCTTTCTCCCCTTTTGAATCTGTTCTCTCACTTGCAAAACATAAGCATCTCCTTTAAGTGCCTAGCAACCACCTCTGCTAAACCTGGGGTTAAGCACACGCTAACATTTACCGCCAGGTTACGGCCTGGCCTTCAGCAGCTGCCCTCAAGGAGTCGGGCATTCCCCACTCTGTCTTTTGTCTATGGGGAAGGCTGTAGATGACTGAAAGGCCCCACTGACTAGCCACCCCAAATATGTGCCCAGAGAGCCCAGCAAAATCTTTTGCCCTGCTACGTATTAATATAAGAATAGTTTTTAACTGTATTTTTAACCATTAGATCAAGACTGAACGCAGAATGGAAATAGGTATATATTTGATACCTTTCTCACTAATTTTTTAACCATTCCCAATCCCATCTTTATCTAATCCTGATTTTTCTATTCGATTATGTTTATTTCATTCACCCCAAATGCCTCTAGCTGTAGTGAAAAGTCCCTTGGATCATAGAAGTGGCCCTGACAGTAGTGTTTTGGGGCTTAAGCATAGCTTGAAATCAAGCACCGTTTTTTTTTTTTTTAATCTGGGTCAACACCATCTCTTCATCATTAGGGTCACTGTCATCATCATAATATAAACTATTTATCCTGTTTGGCTGGTGTCAAGAGTTAGAATGATGAACTCCCTCTGTTTCCCATTCCTAGTAAGGGGAGAGGGACCCATACATCTCTTATCTTCCCTTATTGCTGGGAAGATTGTCTCTCCCTCTCTCTCTCTTTTTATGAAGATCTTCTAGGTTCTTTTATCTACGGTTTACTACCAGCTACATACAGTTGGTACAACCTGCCTCTGGTATGAAGCTACTGTCCTGTAATGGAGACTATATTCCCTCACTAGGGACAAATCCAAGCTAATCAGAACATACTTTTTAAAATCTCTTTCATGGGGCACCTGGATGGCTCAGTCGGTTGGGCGTCTGCCTTCGGCTCAGGTCACGATCCCCGGGTCCTGGGATCGAGCCCTGCACTGGGGGCTCCCTGCTCAGCGGGAAGCCTGCTTCTCCCTCCCCTACTCCCCCTGCTTGTGTTCCCTCTCTCACTGTGTCTCTCTGTCAAATAAATAAATAAAATCTTAAAAAAAAATAAAAATAAAACCACACAGGGCGCCTGGATGGCTCAGTCGGTTGGGCATCTGCCTTCGGCTCAGGTCACGATCCCAGCGTCCTGGGATCGAGCCCTGCACTGGGGGCTCCCTGCTCAATGGGAAGCCTGCTTCTCCCTTTCCCACTCCCCCTGCTTGTGTTCCCTCTCTCGCTGTGTCTCTCTCTGTCAAATAAATAAATAAAATCTTTAAAAAAATAAAAATAAAACCACACAATTTTGGGTAGTGGCACAGAGGGGTTTCACGCTCCAGGACAGGTATTTGCTGCCAGAACACGAGAGAGCAGTGTCCCCCACTGATGCTCCCATTTCCCCAGCCTGATGTTGAATGTCCCCCTTCTTTCTTGCTGGAGCTTTTTTATAAACCAGGTGTCAACAAATATATTGGATTCTTTATACTTTAATCCGTGTCCCATTTTGAAAGGGTTGAAAGAGTTGGGCACATTATTCATTCAACTCTAGCTCCTTTCCGATGACCTCAGGGGGATTAGCAGGATACCTGCTCGGAGCAAGGTATCCCAGAAGCCACCTCACTCGCTGTGTTGAGAATCCAACTGGCACACAGCCTTCAGTGGGAAGGCTGATGAAAGGTGCTCAGTAAAAATTAAAAGCCTTGGGAAAGTACAGGCCCCCGGGCCAGAACAAGGCCGCTGAATGATTGTTCCTTCTGGGAGCAAAGGTGGGAGCATTTTCTTGCCCTGCTCATGGGGGTAAAGTGAAGTCACAACTTCCTTGTAACCGTGACTCATTATCATCAGAGGGCCTTCCTGCTTTGGCAGAGCTAATTTCACGAGTGGTAAATGAAGGGTCTCTCCCAGTGAGCGCTGATGGAGGAACAAACAGAGAAAAAAGTACAACCGAACCCCTAACCGTGACCCGCATTGTGGAACAGGCGGGAGTTTTCTGAAGCAATGAGACCAGCCCACGCCCAGATCTCCCTCGGCCACGTTTTCTTCCTTCCTGACTCATCAGATTTCTCTGGGAAAGCCTGCGAGAAGGGATTAGGAAGCGGGCAAGGGAGCCACCTTTTCCGGCAGCGTGGGGCAGTTTGATTTCAGATGCTGCAAATCTTCGAGAACAGACTCGGCGCGCCAGCGTTCTCGGCTCGAGGCCAGCCGCATGGAGCACATCAGATGGTCGGGGCCGCCGGCAAGAGACCCGAAGGCTTTCCTGAGGGCCGCCTCTCTCCGGAAGTTAGAAGATGTCAGAACAGTTTTGCCTTCTTGAAACGTGCAAATGTCACCAGCCGGGAGTGGCAGATGCCGAGAGGCGTCTGAAAACAAACCTCCATCTGGTAATGGGTTAGGCTTCCTGGTACACAGATGAGAATAGTTTGAAACAAAGTGACGGAAGCACCAGTTTGGCTTTTCACATATTGTTACGGGCTCTGGGTCATTTCCTGCCTTTGGAATGTATTTCCTCTCCAGGTTCAACAAAACCTGCTGAATGACAAGAAAGAGGTTAGGGTTTTTCTTTTCGCCTGTGAACTTGTTTCTCTGCAAGGGGCTGCGTCTTCTCGGGCTCCTGCCTACTCACGCTGAGCCCGGGAGTAGTGAAGCTTCGGGAATAGAATAAATTAGGGAAGGGAGCCATCTCCAGTTGAGTCAGATGAATCCTCTTGTTCCTCGAAAACCGAAAGGATTGGGAAGGGGTCAGATGATGCCTTCCGGAGGGGACCTCTCTACCCCCAGGACCCCAGGCAGGCACGCAGGCCCCCTTGAAGGGAGGAGGCCGAAACCACCTCCACACAGCCCCGCCCCGACCTCCTGGAGGCAGCCAGTGGGCCAGCTGGAGAGTGCGAACGTGACATTGGCTGCACGAGGGGTGACCTGCAGTCTTATGTTACAGAAATTCATTTTCCACCTTGTGCCAAACAGCATTTCAGACAGCAACAACTGCCTTCCTGGCAGCATGTTTGTGCTCATTTGGGGCATTTTGAAGCTGATGTGAATCCTTCTTGCAAACTCTCTCTGCCCTGAAGACCCGCTGCCATTCTGCGGTGCAGGGACCCTCGCAGAGGCCGAGGTGAAGCCTCTTACTCTGAGGGCTACAGACTTCGAGCAGAGAACTTCCACTGCTGTTCCTCTGAGTCTGGAAAGGCCTGTCTCTCTGGAGGGTGATCCACGGTCACAAGTTCCTTCTGCAAAGCCAGCTCATGCAATCCTTGTCGGGAGGAAGCTCCGGAAGCCGGTTCACGTGTCCAGAGCCCATCCCTCTCTAGACGGAGAGGTCCGAGTTCACAGCCTTCAAGACATGGGTAGTTCTGACCCCAGCCGTGTCCATCTAGACACAGCTATCCTGTTAGTAAGTGCTCCGTCAATGCCAAGGAAGTGGCAGCTGGTGATCCGGGTATCCTGGTGCCCCCAATGCCCAGAAACAAAACCCAAAACTCCCTCTCCTCCCCCGCTGCCTTGACAGGAGGCCCGGTGATTACTGTGGCTCCGGAGAGAATCAAGCTGACCTTGGCAAAGCAAGCTGCCTCATCGGGTGTCCACAGAAACGGTCTCCCGTGACCGTCACAGAAATGATTCCAACATTTAGGAAGTTCCAGGGGAAGGAAGGAAGTAGCTAGGGACGAAGTTGGCTCTGTAAATAAGCAGGGTCAGAAACACCTGTAGGCTATGACTTTTGAACCAACAAGACTTCCGCCTAAGGGCCCCAACCTTCCCCCACAAAAGAGCACTTGGGCAGATTCAGGCATTGTATTTCCGCGTAAGAGTGTGACCTGGGACTGGGAACTTTGTAAGCCATTGCCTTTCAACTTTAGAGGTTCTGAGTGCACAGGTCTGGCAGGAGGCCAGGAATCTGTGTTTTTATCAAGCCCACCTTCTGATGCTGGTACAGGTGGTCTGTGGCCCACACTTTGGAACACTATGCTGAAAAGAATTGTGGGTCATTGTCACATTAGCATGGATTAACTGGTAATACAGGAAAGCGTTGCACGGGGATTGCAGGCCAGGCTTTGGCCCTCTGTGTGGCTGTGGGCGAGACAATTTAACACTCCAAGATCGAAGGCCTCTGGACCAGTTGGTGACCTCTAAAAATTGAGTTGGGGACTGGTTTCTTAATGATGGCCCACAGTCCTGCAAAGTACTTAAGGGCTGGTCCAAAGGGTCATGGCGGCCAAGACTACTCCAGCGTGTCCTAAATAGTCAGTGAAGCTCTGCAGTGCAGAAAGCCCCAGAGGCCAAGGAAGACCTTCTTGCCCTGGGGCTGCAGTCCTGGTACCTGAGGTCTTGGGGTGCCAGAAACCAGCAAGAGATACTTCTTTCTTTGCTCTCCGCCATTTCCAAATAGGGAAAAATGAGAGAGAGAAGGTTAAATGCATTCCATGCTTTGTGTGGGAGTGCTGACAACCCTGACTCCATCTTTAGCCCTCTCTCCTGTTCATGCCCACACAAGACCTCCCTCCAGGCTACATGTTCGAGGCCCTGTGGAAACTAATGGACGCCCCTACCGGAATGTGGGAAAGCTCCTTCTTATCTTTCCTAAAGTTGTGCACAGAAGGCCCCACTTCAAGTAACGAGCAGAGATGAGCAGCACACAGCAGGTCCCACTTTAGATAACTACCCTATGACCTCACCACCATGCCCCTCGCTCCATAGAAGCTAGGGATTAAGGTCCAGACCCAGCGGAGAATAGCTGGGTGTGTCCTGCCCTGGGTGGTCTGTCCCTCCTCCCACCCGCCTCATCTCCCCAACTAAAACTCTCTGTAAATGGTATTCAGTGGCTTGCTTTGGTTCTTGGTCTGAAAGTGCCTTGTCAGACTGACCCTCCTTCACCTTCTAAGAATATCCATTTCCTTTTGAATTCTCAAGTAACCCTAGTATTCTTAGTTCTGTTTTGAAATGAGAGAATTACAGATTAAAGGGGTTGACTAACTCTCCTAAATTCCCAAGATCACGAGGCCATTGAGTGCTTGGGATGAAATTTGAACTCATGTCTGTCCAGGTCCAAGTTCCCTGTTCTTTCCACAAAGGCACCCGTAGCTAGAAGTCATGCTGTGGCCACTCTGAAGGCATGTATGTTTTGAGACCCTCAAAATGCCCTCACTCTCCCTAACCTTTATCCACCCCTGTTATCTACTCTGTTTAAGAATCTCACTTTATTTTTTTTTTTTTTTAAGATTTTATTTATTTGACAGAGAGAGAGAGAGCACAAACTGTGGGGAGGGGTGGAGGGAGAGGGAGAAGCAGACTCCCCGGTGAGCAAGGAGCCCGATGCGGGGCTCGATCCCAGGACCCTGGGATCATGACCTGAGCTGAAGGCAGACGCTTCACCCACTGAGCCACCCAGGCACCCCGAAAGTCTTACTTTATCTTTGATCTTTATTCCATCCCTGACCTCTAAACAATCTCTCAACCTTGCTTGTTTGTTATCCCCACAACATCTTTACCCCCAGGGTAAATATCACACCTTTCCTGGGCCCAGGAGGATTTTACCCCCAGGGTAAAATATCACACCTTTCCTGGGCCCAGGAGGATTTTTGGATCCACAATTACTCCCGTTACTGATCTGAAAACCAGTGGGTCCTAGAGAAGGCATGCTATTGCCAGAGGTTTCCATGGACTGAGGATCCTCCGATGCTTAACAGGCATTTGTGTACTTGTTGACGTAAGAGCCCTCCCTCCACCCCATCCCTCCCACCCCGTCTCTTCTCAACTCAGGGCAGAGATGCACGAAACCTGGGCCAGCCAGCTCCCTGCTATAAAATAAATGGAGGCCCCTGAAACTTCAACGTTTTAATAATAGAGATTATTCCGGGATGCTGGGCACCCCCTAGTGGGAGGAATGGAGAAAGAAGCCGGATTGTTCTGATGCTGTTCCCAGTCATCCATCCACCCCCAGCTTCCTGCCCCTCGGCCACCTTCGCCTTCCAGCCCTTCTCACTGTTCTCCGAATGATTCATTCTTCCCACGATGATCGGGCCTTTTGCCCCATAAAGCCCTCCCTGTCTTTACAGACGTAACGCACTAAAATTAAGCAGAAGGCAACTCGGGCAGAACAGCAGGGAAAACTTCCTATTGGAAGAGCTCCTGAAACCCTGAAATCCCTTATAAGGCAAACTGATTAAGACCCAACAGCCCTGGGCAAAACAATAGAGACTATCTTGGAAAGATATTTTTGGAAATGAGGAGAGGGAAAGGCTAGTTTCCTGGTTTCAAGATATATGCTAATGCCCACATCTGACACCCTCAGATTTCAGACTTCTATTAATTCCCTGTGCTGTCTTACCCCTTCTAAGGTCGAGAGAACACCCAGCATTTACCTACTTTGGAATAAACCGAAGAAGCCCTGTCCCAGCAGAGGGGTAGCCTATCTGTGGACTGGGCACAACGTACCACCGTGGGACATTCCAGTCATCTGGCACTATCACTTAACTCTTTAAAGACCAGGGCCGTAGCACCGCAAGACAGGGGCTGAGCCCTATTACGTTGTGAACAACAAGCCATTTTCTGAATACCTACAATATACAAGCTCAGGCAGGCTGGTTATAAGATCAGCCTTACGCATTTTCAAGATCTGCCCACCTCAACTTTAGTTCTTTCTCCAAGAAAGGGCCTTAATAAAAGACAGAGAGCGCTAACATATTTGAGCCCATGCACTTTCTTCTGAGCATATTCACCGTCCATATTTTAGCTTGATACCTGATCATTTCACTGGGCAGGGGTTCACCAGTCTCGTCCTGGGGCCCAATGCCTGTCCCCAGGGAACATTAGAATTACAGAGCACCCCACCTCCATACGACTTTGGTTTCTATGGTCTGACTTGTCCCTGGATCAGAGCCATCAACTCATTACTGCCCACTCAAGTTGACCTTCTCTGATAAGCTCCCTGAAAACTTGTTCAGAATGCTAGCAATTCCAGCGCAGGCTTTTCAGCGCTGTGGTTCCTGCCTCCTCTTGAGCCTCGTCCCTTGGACAGTCTAATCTGACAATCACCGTCAGTGTCGGTCCCTTTCATCTTTTCAGTCATTTGATGATGTTCATCTCTCTGACAACCAAGAACTTTGGAAGACTCTCTCCCTCAGGCACTTCCATTTTTGGGTCCAGACTGGCAGCCTTTCAAACTCACCAGAGGCCTCGCAGAAGGCAACGTTGTGGAGGGTCAGAGGGCAAGCTGAACACAAGTTCATTGGACATCTGGAAGAAAGAAGAGAGGGTCAAGGATGCTCCAGCTTGGTCAGCATCACAGGCCAACAGCAGAAGCTGCTGGGATTCCTTCCCGCCTAACTTGGGCTTGATGAAAAGCATTCTTTGGTCTGGAGACCTCTGGCCTCATTCTCAGTGGGACGCTCCAAGGGCAGAGCAGGGTTCTCAGCTGGTAGGAAGGACACACTGAGCGCCTTCCCCAGCCTGGGAGACACAAAAGCCATGGTGAGTTAGCTGAGCCACCTGGAGCCCCTCTGTCAGTGTGAGCTTTCCCGGACCGTGTAAGCTGGCCTTGACTTTGTAAGAAAGGGTAGCGATGTGTTTATGTGCTCAGATGAGAAAACATGAGGAGAGAACGAGGATTAGAAGGAATGAACATAAATGGTGGCTGCTTTGAAGGGGCCGGAGAGGATGTAATCCTGAGCAGAGACCCCAGCTCTGATGGAGATAAGGGGACTTCCACTACTTCTGTCTCTATTCTCCAAGAAATAAAAGCCAAATCATAAATCTAAAACCGGAAGGTGCGTTCACGTGGGGAGAGGGGGGAACAAGGTGTTGCGTTCCAAACAGATATTAGCGCCACAAAAATGAACCCTTTTAATCTGCCAGTAGAAACGTGTCTTTTCTGAAAGTCACCATTGATTAAACACCAAAGAGAAGGTTACAAAAAGTTCTATTTCATGCAGATTAAGAAGCATTAATTCAGGCTGTCTCTAGTGAGTTGGATTTCTAGCACTGGATGCTTTCCAAGAAAAGGTGAAAGGGGAGCAACCAGAGCAGTTATGGGAAATTCAGGTGCGTGTTTTGTCGGTAAAGGTGAGGAGCCACAAAACAGATCAAGGGCTGTGCAGCTGGAGGGATGCCCAGAGGGGATGGAGCCCCTGGGTCAGGCCTTTGGAGAACCAACATCAAGCCCCCAAAACAGTGCTCGTGGGCAGGACAGGTGGGAGCTACCTGCCCGTGCCTACAGCAAGGCAGGTTTGCGTTATCTGCTAACATCCCTGAGGGAAGGGAGTTCTTTGCCAGCTGGAGAGCTCCCGGGAGAGACAGGGATTCAGCTCTGGGATGATGTCCAAAGAATCCAGGTGAGGCCTTGAACTTTGGCCAGCAAAGCGGGGTGTGTAACACCTAAGGAAGCTGGGTAGGAGTCATTAGGACTACACTCAGGCAGGGGAAATTGGGGTGTGGTGCGTCCAGGAAGGGAAGGTATGCGCATTCCAGAGCCCAGTTAATGTTTATGGGAGAAGCTTCAGCAAACATAGGATACAAGTCACTCTGGCTGTCCTCAAACCTCTTCTGCAGCTGAGTTTCTGACTCTTAAAGCTCAACATAAGCAAGTTCCCCATAAAGGCGCTAAGGGGTAGTAGTCATCAATGGGGGGAGATGCCGAACCCGTAGCAGAGAGCCAAGGATACAATGCAAGCCCTTTTGACTTGACGTAGGCAGCTGCGTTTCGGAATCGCAGCCCCGGACTTAAAGGCAGCACTCTGGGCCATCAACTGAGGTTTTCTTCTCCCACTTCTGAGAAGGCGAGAGACCACTCGACAGTGTCCTTTCTACCCTTTGGTTCCTTCTTGCCATTTCTCCCCATCATTTCCAGCGCTCTGCTGAGCCAGTCGCACCATCTCCCGACTCTGTGTCCAGTTAACATCACGGCAGCTTAGAGCCGGCCACGATGGCACTGTTTGTTAGGGAAATTGGCAAACCCTACGAACTAGAGCTTCATATTTATTTCTGGAGAGCCAGTTGTGAAACATTTACTAGCGCACTGTGCCCGTCACTGGGAGTTTGTCCATGGGAGAGGGGGCAGTGAACTGAGTGTAGGAGTCTAGGGACAGGGGAGAGGCAGGGAGGGCAAAGCCTAGGCGGGGGGGGGGGGGGGGGGGCCCTAGGAGGAAGTGGCAGATTGCCAAGATTGGTTCCGCCTCCCTCACAGATACACAACCCCGCCCCAAACACAAGCCTGCGATTCAGCATTTAACAGTTGTTCAGTGAGCACCTGCTCTGTGTTTACAACCACACGTAGACATTGTTTTCTGTTGATTTGGGGGGTGGTTTTATCGTCCCACTTGAACATTTTGTGAGGTTTATGGTGCAAAATAGCATAACGTAGGTATAGAATGTTTTTCCTGGTATGAATTTAAAGTGTTTCTCATAGATCCAATCCCACTTTTCCTCTTGCAACTCCCCCCACAACACACACACACACACACACACACTCACAATATCATGTGCTCCCCTGCTCCTCTATGTGCTTCCCATTGACCTTTGGATTCAGCACCTTAACTCTTGTCAAAATCTCTCTGAACTGGATAATTATTACCCCCTCTAGAGGAGAACTCTTTAACGTTGATGCACATGCGAATCACCTGGGGAATCTTGTTAAATGCAGATTTGCTTTCAGTAGGTCTGGCTGGAGCTCTAAGAGTCGCCACTTCGAACAAGCTCCGGTGATTCCCAAGCTGCCGGTCAGCAGATCGCAGCACTAGCAAGGCTCATTCTGCCCCCCACAACTCTCTCTCCCTTCCACCTCTTCTACTTTAAGAAATCCCATGTACATCTCTTGAAGTGACAGCCCCTCACAGGAGATTGGACCAAGACTGGAAGCACAACCAATCAACCAAATCTATATGCCAGTATGGTTAAATTGTCTTTCAAGAATTTGTACTGGAGGGGCACGTGGGTGGCTCCGTTGGTTAAGCGGCCGACTCTTGATTTCAGCTCAGGTCATGATCTCAGGGTCCTGGGATGGAGCCTCAAGTGGGGCTCCCTGCTCAGCGGGGAGTCTGCTTCAGGATTCTCTTTCGCTCTGTTCCTCCTGCCACTTTCTAGCACTATCTCTCTTTCACATAAATAAATAAATCTTTAAAAAAAAAAAGAATTTGTACTAGAATGCTGTCCCAGCCTGGGATCCCTGCAGAGCAGAACCACAGATAGAAGTTTGCATGCAATCACTTATTTGGGAATCTCAGAGAACAAGAATGCAAGACATGGGAAGTAAAAGAGGGAAGAAAAACTAGCACAAAGATGCGTTATTGAATTAACCATGGTGTAGGGCAACAGGTGCTCCGTCCTGTGGGAGCTGCTAATGGGCCTTCTGAGAATGCATCTCAGTCCTATCTCCATTTATCCAAACTTTCCTCCAGAAAGTATTGATTAAATGTTTGATAACCCTGTATTTTCCAGTTTTCAAGTGGTGACTTGGTTCCCTAGCATCCTCTAAAAGACACCAATAGATTTTATTTTCGTACAAGTATGAGCCATGGATTTAAATATATTTCATATACTTCAACCCATTGCAGTTATTATTCTAAGTGGTGCTCAAATTATCCTATCTTTGGTCAAGGGGATATTGACTTATTCGTGTTGACTCCGGAGTTTTTTTGGTATGACCCCAGTAGTCTTTGATTGCTTCCTTCTTTTCTGGTGTAAGCTATTCTAGAGCAGCTGTATCCAATAGAACTTTCTTTTTTTTTTTTTTTTAAGATTTTTTTTTTTTTTTATTCATGAGAGACAGAGCAAGAGAGAAAGGCAGAGGGAGAAAAGCAGGCTCCCAAGGAGCAGGGAGCCCGATGTGGGACTCGATCCCGGGACCCAGGGATCATGACCTGAGCCAAAGGCAGACGCTTAACCAACTGAGCCACCCAGGTGCCCCAATAGAACTTTCTGTGATGATGGAAATGTTCTGTATCTATACGATATGATGCTGTAGCAACTAGCCACATGTAGCTATAAACACCTTAAATGTAGCCAATACAACTGAGGAACTGAATTTTAAATTTTACGTACTTTTGATTAATTTCATTTTAAATAGCCACATGTCTCCAATTGCCACTGGACAACACAATTCTAGAGTTTAACTATTTGAGTAACAATTGAAGAAAGCTAGGTACAGAGAAGCAGAAGGACTTGTCTGTGATCGAATTCAATCTTTTTTTAAGATTTTATTTTTTTGAGAGAGAGAGAGTGCATGTGAGAGAGCACAAGCAGGGGAAAGGGCAGAGAGGGAGAGGGAGAAGCAGGCTCCCCGCTGAGCAGGACCCTGGGATCGTGACCTGAGCCGAAGGCAGACGCCCAACCAACTGAGCCATCAATCTTTATCATCAGAATACTGCAGGGACTCAGTGCATCTGAATAATCTGGGGAAACTTTGTAAAATATTGATTTCTGAGCTCCACCCCCAGATATTCTGATTCATTAGATATAAGGTGGAGCTTAGGAATCTGTTGTTTTATTATTGTTATTTTAAATTACCATGTGATTCTGATGAGCCGCTGGGTTCAGGAACCACTATATTAAAATGCCAGATGCAATACTTATGTTACAGCTACAGTTCATTGAAAAATCATTCCAATGAATCAGCTGTACATCTTTAACACTTTCTAGTCAGTTTTAGAACTTCTCAGAGGACCATACCACTCTGCTAGTTATATAATCAAGAGCTATAGGTTCTCACAGAGGCTTGCCTCGCTCTGCCTTCAACACAGGTCTTCTGGCCTTAGTCTGTTTAGACTACCATAACCTAAATCCCATAGACTTGGTGACTTGTAAACAATGGAAATCTATGTCTCACAGTTTTAGAGGCTGGGATGTCCAAGATCAAGGCATGAGCATATTCAGTGTCCAGTGAGAGTCTGCTTCTTATATGGCTGTCTTTTCATTAAGTTTTGTTTCTTTTCATTTTTGACTTGATTTTTTCAATTGAGGTGAAATTCACATAACATAAAACTAATCATTTTAAAGCAAACATTTCAGCGGCATTTTGAACCCTCTCTTATAAGAGCACAGAAGAACCCCAGTCTTTTATAATGGGCTGCAAGCAAACTTGCCCAACTTTGCCCCAGAGGGAGGCATGATCTTTAGGATAATAGTACAGCAAACTAACCTTCCCTCTGCTCCAGAGGGAAACGCCATCTCTATCTGCCAAGGCTGTTCAATATGAAAACATAGCCCCCAACAAAAGGCTGCCAATGTTTTTGCTTAAAGACATGCAGAAACATGAGAGCCCCATGGAGAATAGTCTCCCCACAGTGCACACCCCATGACACTATTCTTGGTCTATCCTCAACATGGTGACCCCCTAGAACTTGAACCAAGACTAGAGTACTGATATAGAAACTCTTCCCTCCCAGCTGTGATGACTTTGGACTTCTGTGTCCCTTGGCAGGAGGTAATAATGCATCGTGGTTAGAAGAATAGTCTCTAGGGGCCCCTGGGTGGCTCAGTCGGGTAAGTGTGGGACTCTTGATTTCGGCTCAGGTCATGATCTCAGGATCGTGAGATGGAGCCCTACATGGAGCCTGCTTAAGATTCTCTCTCTCCTCTCCCTCTGTCCCTCCCCCCCAACCCCAGGCCCCACCCCACCCCACCCCACCCCCATGCTTACGCACCTGCACACATTCTCTCTCTCTCTCTCTAAAAAAAAAGAAGAGCAATCTCTGAAGTCAGATTGTCTGGGTTCACATCTCAGCCATGCCACTTACTAGCTTTATGTCAGTGGGAAACTTAATTAACCCCTCTGTGCCTCAGTTTCCTCATCTATAAAATGGGAATACAATAATAGCTACCTCCAGGTTATTATAAAGATTACATGGAAAGTGTTCGGCACAAGTTACAAAGCACGTCCTCTGCAAACACTAGCCATTGCTGTTACCACTCTTTAATTGTTTTTTTTTTTTTTAAAGATTTTATTTATTTATTTGACAGAAAGAGACACAGCGAGGGAGGGAACACAGCAGGGGGAGTGGGAGAGGGAGAAGCAGGCTCCCCGCAGAGCCGGGAGCCCGATGCAGGACTCGATCCCAGGACCCTGAGATCATGACCTGAGCTGAAGGCAGTCGCTTAACCAACTAAGCCACCCAGGCACCCACCACTCTTTAATTGTTAATGTATTCTCATGACTTTTCCTATCATGGTGGACCTACTTGTTCAAATGGAACCCCAACACAGCCTGGCTTCTTTGGGTTGAGTTAAAATTCCCAATCCTGGCCACCTGAGAGCCGGTTTGACACCCTGTTGGGTTTGCTCTATTCCACCAGTGGGCAAACTATCGCCTGAAAGCCAAATCCAGCCCGCCACCTGTTTTGTTTTGTTTTTAAATAAAGGGTTTTTTTTTTTTTTTTTTGGCATGCCACCACATACACTCATTGACATATTCTCTCCGGCTGCTTTGGTGCTACAGCCCGAGTTGGAGAGTAAAGCCAAAAATATTTAGTATTTGGGCCTTTAAAGAAAAAGTTTGCCAGTCCCTGCTCTGTTCTATTCAGACTGTATCCCATCCATGCAGCAATCGTGTGACGGGTTATCAATTACCAGGGAGACCAGGTAAGTGTGGAAATGAACCACTGCTGCCTCTTTTCATTGGAAAAGCAACTCCAGAGTACCGTTAGTAGAGAAGGCATCAATGTAAGCTTTTAAGAGTAGTGCTTTATGGGCGCCTGGGTGGCTCAGTTGGTTAAGCGACTGCCTTCGGCTCGGGTCATGATCCTGGAGTCCCGCATCGAGTCCCGCATCGGGCTCCCTGCTCGGCAGGGAGTCTGCTTCTCCCTCTCCCGCTCCCCCCTCTTGTGCTCTTTCTCTCTCTCACTCTCTCTCTCAAATAAATAAATAAAATCTTAAAAAAAAAAAAAAGAGTAGTGCTTTATGTCGTCCTTCTCTGAATTGGACTATTTACATAGCCCATCACCTGACTGATGTCATTCAACAAGCAAAACATTAATAAACTTTGTGTAAGATTATTAGCTTGAAAACAGAAGACAATTTCTAAAGGAAACATCCCTTTATTAAAAGCCTTTTATCAAAGAGTACTCTAAAAATAAATTAGCCTTTCAAATAAGAGTAAATATAGATAGAATGTATCACTTTCGTTTTCTCTACAAATATCTTTGACATGTTACTAACCACCTAATGAAGAGAGACATTAGATGAATATTTATGATGGCCAGGGTTGATGAATATGATTCATGAACTATGCATTTAGTAGTGGATTTCAGGACAGAGCCACGAGCTATGTTCAGTCATAATTGAATACACTTTGAATGACCGCTTACATTAGGCCCACGACAATGAGAAGGTCCATACCCACATAGAAGTTTCAACTTCTTTCGTGAAATAATATTTCAGGGCAGAGAGACAGAAAGTTCTTTGAGAAACACAGCTCTGACCAAAGAACACTGTTGCTTTTATTATGATCAGAGGTCAGGCTTCAACAACCTTCTGGAAGCAGCCCAGACCCAAAATTGCAAGAGTGAGTGGGGAGTATTTGGTAATTAGGGTTGTTTTTTGTTGTTGTTGTTGTGAAGACAGTACAGTATTTTTTTTTTAAGATTTTATTTATTTATTTGAGAGAGAGAATGAGATAGAGAGAGCATGAGAGGGGGGAGGGTCAGAGGGAGAAGCAGACTCCCCGCCAAGCGGGAAGCCCAACATGGGACTTGATCCCAGGACTCCAGGATCATGACCTGAGCTGAAGGCAGTCACTCAACCAACTGAGCCACCCAGGCGCCCCGACAGTACAGTATTTTTTAAATTTTAAAGAAAAATTCCCTTTATCCTTGTGCCTAAGACAGCTGTTTTCTTTTTTGTGTGTTCCATATAGACTCCATCCAAATGCATACACATGTTCACAAACAGCTAACAGTCCGTGAGAGTTTGTTGTAACAGAAACAATGCTTTCACGCACAGAGGTTCACCCACAGGATGAGCATCGTGGAGGTATCAATAGTATTGTATGTTAGAACTGCAGGCGCCTCTCAAACCTGACTGCATATTGGCCTCACTGAGAAGGTTTTTTTTTTTTTAAAGATTTTATTTATTTATTTGACAGAGAGAGAGCACAAGCAGGGGGAGTGGCAGGCAGCGGGGGAGGGAGAAGCAGACTCCCTGAGGGGCAGGGAGCCCGATGTGGGACTCGATTCCAGAACCCTGGGATCATGACCTGAGCAGAAGGCAGATGCTTAACCAACTGAGCCACCCAGGCGCCCCGAGAGGGTTTCTTAAAATACTAACCTTCTGGTCCCACCTGCCAAACATCCTGATTTAATCAGCCTGAAGCGGGCTGCAGGGGTTGAGTCTTATCTGAAAGTTCCCCAGATTCTGCAAGTTCTAAAATGCAGCCAGGTTGGGAGCCATTCAGCTAGCTGGATGCCCTCATTTTACAGGTTAAATACTGAGGCCGAGAAATGCACTTCAAACCTGCTGCCCTTGCCCAGCCAAAAGCTTCCGGGGGCCCCTGACATCACAGCAAATACACAGCCGGTCTGAAGACCTTCTGTGGAAAGGAAAATGCTCGGAGCTTTCCTTGATTGGGCTGATGTGGGCGTATGCCAGGGTTCTGAGAATAAGGATTCGGCCCTTTCAAAGCACAGAATAAAACCTTCTTGAAATATTCCAGGTCTAACTTCTGGAAATAGGAGATGTGTTATCACGCCTTAATTGGGGCTGTACTTTTGGCCAAGTTCGTACTTACTGTCCCAATGTCTGGGGTTGTGTTCCCTCAGCTATCCAGGTCCCAGTGTCATGGTCAATAGGATGGCCACGTTAGTAGAATTCCCCCGAGAGCAGGCTCCAAAGCTGAAGACTTGAGGTGCTCCCTCCTCTCGATTTTCCACTCCCTTTGGGAATTTCCTCTGGAGCCGAGATTAATCATTATGCAAATGTTAAGTACTTTGAAAGCTGGAGAAAGGAAAGGAATTTTTTAAAGCACTTTTGTTATTATAGTTTAGGAGAGATCACAAACAGCTGTTGCGTTTGACCTGCTCTCGAGTTCTACTGTGCGGTCTGTGTGATATCAAATTATATATATATATTGTATTTAAATCTTCTTTAAGATGTATATGTACTGGGCGCCTGGGTGGCTCAGTTGGTTAAGTGACTGCCTTCGGCTCAGGTCATGATCCTGGAGTCCCTGGATCGAGTCCCCATCGGGCTCCCTGCTCGGCAGGGAGCCTGCTTCTCCCTCTGACGCTCCCCCCTCTCATGCTCTCTCTCTCTCATTCTCTCTGTCTCAAATAAATAAATAAAATCTTAAAAAAAAAAAAAAGATGTATATGTACTTTTGGGTTACCTGGGTGGCTCAGTCAGCTAGGCGTCTGCCTTCAGCTCAGGTCGTGATCCCAGCGTCCTGCTCAGTGGGGGTCAGGGGGGTGGGAATCTGCTTCTCCATCTCCCTCTGCCTGCTGATCCCCCTGCTTGTGCTCGATCTCTCTCTCTCTCTGTCAAATAAATGAGTAAAATCTTAAAAAAAAAATATATATATATATGCACTTTTTTTTTTTTTTTGTATATGCACTTTTGCCAAAACCTCTGGGTTCCCATAAATATCCAAATATATTGACCATCACCCAGCCTGTTTGCACTCCCTCCCAGACTTAAGGGCCATTCTGGGAAAAGACATTAAAACATTTCACCCTCGGAATGTGAGTTTGACTGAGATTTTATTTAGATTTTGTAAATAGCCTAAATGCCTGGGGTGATCTGAAAGGAAATGCTGCAGAGTCCTGTTGCCTAAGAAATAGGGCAAGTCTTGCTCACTCAGGCATAGCCTGAAGGGAAAAACAAAAGTCCTCACTCTTATCCTGAAGGTCAAAACTTCTTTGGCTTCTCCTGTCCTAGTCTCTTCCTCTGTGTCCTCAAGGGTTTCTAAACCATAAACTGCTATTTAATAATTTTTTATATTAAACTTTTCCTGTTCAAATGATGGCAGGGTTTCTCCCTCCTGTTCTGACCTATACTGATACCAGGCCCTTCTGAGACACTGAGTTCCCCAAGAGCACAGGACGGTCGGTGCTGCAGGGCTGGGATGAAGCAAGCAAGGCACATGGGTTCATGGAGTTGCAGGGTTGTTCGAGGGCAGGGGGGGCACCTGAGGGTAGGTACCTCCTTGCATGCGAAGCCCTAGGTCCTTTGCTTGCCTTACCCTAGTCCAGACCTTGCCGTTCTGTCTTCTTTTTTAGAGTTCCGTGTAGCACATTCCAGAGAATTCATCTACTGAAACCCTCACCCCCAGTGTGATGGTATTTGGAGGTGGGGCCTTTGGGAGATAATTAGGTTTGGATGACGACAAGAGGGTGGTGCTCTTATGATATAATTAGTGCCCTTATAAGAAGAGGAAGGCAGAGTGAGAACTCTCTCTCCCCTGTATTCACCCGGGAAGGACCATGTGAGCACACAGAGAGGCCAGGAAGTGGACCTCACCAGGAAGTGAATCTGCAGGCACCTTGACCTTGGACTTGCCAGCCTCCAGAACTGAGAAATAAATGTCCGTTGTCTAAGCCACCCCATGATGATGTTTTGCTCTGGAAGCCAAAGCTAAGGCAGTGCCCACTCAGCATGTCCTGAAAGGCTGAATCACCTTGTGTCTCAGAACCGTCTCTCTAATGCAGCTTAAGAGCTGAGTCTCTAAGCAGTGTAGCATGGTATTCAAAAGCCAGACTTTAAAGTCTTGTAGACCCAGGTTCAACCTTAGCCCTACGGAGACCCTGTTCTAGTCACTCCTTATGCCTCGGTTTCCTTAGCTGTAAAATAAGTGAAACAATACCTACTCCATAGGGGTGTGGAAAGGATCGAGTAAGACTACACACAGAGGACTTAGCTCAGTGCCCTCAAATATTAGCTATACTGCTAATAGTAGTAGTCACTCCCCATTATATTAACTCCAAATTCCCCCTAGTCTGAGTCACCAAATGATGAAATAGAGCCAAAATCCAGTACGTGAGTAATTAGTCATTCAGAGGGGGTCTAAAGTCTCAAATTTGAAGGTCGCCTCTGTCTGTCCCAAGAGCCAAACAACAGCCAAAGTAAACAAGGTTTAGGAAGGAATGTAAAAAATAGAGCAAAGGCATCGATCTCTTTTCCCATCAAAGAAGATTAGATTAGAATAAATATTCAATCTACTCTTTTTTGTTTCCATTTCAAAAAGTTGAAACTTTATTCAAACCCCACTCGTTGAGAATGTTTAGTGCCCCTTTCAGGTTCCAGGAACTATGCTAGTTAGCAAAGATTTAAAAATAAGATATCCTCTTTGCTCTCAAGCCACTGAAGGTCTTGAGGTACAGAGATAAGCATGTAAACAAAGCAAAGGTTGTTTTGAGTGTCGCTTACTCTCACTGAGGTGGAGCTCACGGCTCGGCAGGAGGGAGCGGGCAGGGAGCTGGCGAGGTCAGAGAACCTTTCCCACAGGAGAAAAAGGTACTCTCCATGATCCATATTGCTACTGCCCTGAGGAAGTGGAAGGAGAAGCACGGAAGCTAATTCCTGTGATAGACATATTCTCGCCGTGGCCTGGCTGCAAAGGTTTACCATCTGGCTTGCACAATTCCTTCGTGTTTAACAGTTGCCTCTCACAAGCTGGTAGGAACCAACTTCAGAACATCCCTGTGGAGGTGCTCTAAGCCACGAGTAAAATTGCTCTCAAACTGTATTGAGCGTAATTTAATTTCACCTTGATAATCCTGGAGAGTACTTCATGGCATTGTAGTTCCTGAGAGTCAACATGGGGAACATTAATTACTCTCGCACTGTGTCTGCAGAGTTGCTAATCAGCAGTGTAGTGGTGTAGCTGGCTACACCAAGGGGCTGACAAGGAAAAGATGGAACAGAATGTCTTGTAGGTTGTCAGTGGTATGGTTTTACTCCTTAAGGAGCTCTGGAAGGAATCCAGTAGAGGCTATCACCTTCCGTAGGTAAATTTATGATGGTATAAATAGTAATAACAGTGACAGAAATCATAATCATTTCCTTCCAATGGAATAAGGCTTTACAGTTTTCAAAGTGAATTGGACTTTCACCTTGAGGAAAATAGAACAGAGTCTTTATCTCCAGAAACAAATGGAGTGTATAAAATTCATTCTTTCTCGGCAGCCCCATGCTACTGACTTCTGCAGAGCATTCCAGTTGTATGTAGCCGGGGCTTGGGAAAGTTTCCTAGCTCTTGGGAAGGAAGTTAACTAAAACATATGACATCTCTGGCAAGAGTCACAATTTCACACAAAAACTTTCTTGCGATAACTTCACATATTGCTTCCCCTGGTGGGATCACCATCTCTAGGGAAGGCTTGGGTCTAAAATGACAGCTCTGTTTAATAAAAGTGAGAGCTGAATGCTAAATCCAGCAGGTTTTATTTCTCACGAAGAAGTCTTCATCTTAAAATCACTTGTTATGGATGATGTTATGACAGAGGTAAGTCCTTCCAGATTTTTTTTCGTCTTGTTTGTAGAGCATAGAAGCATTTTTAAGCTTCTTGCATGAAAAAAATAAGCAAATATGGTTACTACTCCTGCAAGTCAACAGTGTCTCCTGTAGATAAAATATTACAAAGTATTTGCTATTTACGTGAAATTGGAGGTGGGGGTGGCCACTGGAAAGAGTGTTGGCAGAGATGGGTGGTTGTAAGATTTCTTCCTGAATTAGACTGGTTATGGAAATCAGTGCTTTCAAATTTCAAAATGTGCTAGATATGGCAAATACATATATATGCCGTAAGGAAATAAAAGCCAGATAGGTATTTGCTATCCTAGCTAGTCGAGGAAAGTAAAACCATTTCAACATTAAGGGATGAGGTTACCACTTACGGATGTGGTGCATGCCCTTTATGGTCCCGTGTGTACAAGGGCCAGGCTCTGCACCGAAGAAGGTCTGAGGTCCGACTGCAAGGTGTGCATATAAAAGATTTTCAGGACACATTTGTTGATCATCACAGTGCTGAGATGGTATGAAAAGGTTGGACAAACACCTACTGCAGGCAGCATATTCACTACCTATAGGAAGGGGAGAGTCAGAGCTAGCAGGGTGAAGGTCTACGTGTATGATGCTTCGGTCCCTTCCATGGCACTGAAGAGTGACAGGGGAGGCTGTTCAAGTCCTCTGACTGCCCCAGAGACTTCGAACTCTCAGAACGAATAATTTGCTGTGAGCTCGAAATACAAAACCAATAACCATTCCTGATTTCCCTACTGTATTGACTAATTATTTGACTATGTACAATTGACCAATTATCTACACCTTGTGGAGAATTTTAAGAAAATCTTTGCAGTGTATATTTTCATGAACTCAAAAGTTATTTTCTCCCCTCTATTGAAAGGCTGTGAGAACACAAATGTCTGCCTGTAACAATTTTAACTAACACTTTCCCACAAAGGAGCATGTTCAAGAACCTCTAAAAAGAGTCTAATGATCAGACGTCAAATATATGAGGTAGTAGGAGGAAGAAAGAGAGTATGGAGAAATAACAATCCACAGATAATCTGTAATGCAATCTCTTAAATTAGAACGTTTAATTTCAACAGCTACCTCAAGAATTCCATAGCATATTCTTGCTCTTGGATAAAATCAGTGACAAAAAATGAGAGGGTCAAGCAATAGCAACAAAAAGATTAGGAGAAACAATGAGTTTGTGATATCCTCGAGCCAAAGGAGCACTAATACCTGAATAGTGAGAGGAACATGGCATGGGTTTGGGAATAAGGTATAAACCGATGTTGGAATCCGGGTTGTCCATTTATAATGTAATAACCTCGGGCAATTCACCTAATTCCTCTAGGCCTTAATTTCTTCATTTCTTAAATGGGATGATTATACCTAAGACGCAAGATTTTTGAAAAGATTTACACTCAAAGCTCAATTCTAATTATCATCCAACAGGCAGAAAAGTCTGCTGTGTGATTCTCTTTGAGGTTGTGAGTGAGTGGATATGGATTTCTCTGGCTGATCTGTGCCAGGGGATATGACTGTGCCGGGAGACAGGAAAGGTTGGAGGTGTGCGAAGGCTCCCGCCTCCTGCCCTCCATGTGCACACTCCCGTCACCACTGGTGGAGTCACCAGGCTGTGGTTAAGTCTTCACTGAGGAGGTTTGCAGGGTTCCCATTCCCATCTGGAAGGAGGAAGCCCCGGAATGCTTATCCCACCGTCCCCACAAGTCATATGGAGGCCATTCATCACATGGCAACCAGAGGCCTTGAGGCTGACATGATAGGTTCTTCTGCACGCTCTATGGATCTTGTCCTGACAGGCAGAACGGGGCCAACATACATTGAGGATACTGAGTGCTGTCTCCATACCGTGGACTGTTCTAAAGACTGTGTGGAAGTGAATTCATTTCTCCCTTCAACTGTGTGAGGTATTTTACAAGACATAGAAACTGAAACACAATTTCCATTGCTTGCCCAAGGACCCACAGCCATATTAGTCTGGCTCTGTGTCAGTGGGGTGAACTA